TACAGTCAAACTGGCTTTCTCTCTGTTCCTCTCATACACCACTCCATCTCCTATATCTGTAGCTTTTCATTAGCCCCATGCCTAGAATGCCCTCTCTACACCACCCCACCCCTCACCTCCNTACAGTCAAACTGGCTTTCTCTCTGTTCCTCTCATACACCACTCCATCTCCTATATCTGTACCTTTTCATTAGCCCCATGCCTAGAATGCCCTCTCTACACCACCCCACCCCTCACCTCTGAGGATTCCTCACTTCTTTAAAGAGGCAGCTCAAACACCACTTTCTACCTGAACACTTCCTAGATCCCTGCAATGTCCCCCCTCCCTAAGTATTTTGCATTTAGCTAATACATATTTGTTTTGTATTTATTCTGCATATGCCTACATATATAAAAGTTGTCTCCCCATGATAAAACTCCTTGAGAACTTTTTTGTTTTTGTATTCCCAGCACCTAAGCACCTAGCACAGCAGCTGACATACAGTAAGTACTTAAGAAATGCTTGCTGGGAAAAAATAATAAAATTTTAAAAAATGCTTGCTGATTGATCAACGATCTTGGGCAAATTATTTTCCCCAACTGGGTCTCAGTTTCTTCTTCTGTAAAACAATCTCTAAGGTTGGGCTAACTTGATTTATCATATCATTTCTAGTTCTAAATCCTATGAACCTATGTATCACTTCCTCTGCTCTCAAATTTGAAGGCAAATGCCAGCAAAGGAACTCAGGTTACCAGTGCCCCTTCTGGCGCAGTAAAAGTCTCACTAGTCAGACTATGGTTCTAAAAGAGAGTTCTACAGAACCTCCAAGTCCACCAGGCTTTTTCCTGGACATCAGCTAGGACGATGGGCCTCAGCTTCAGGTGAAACTTCTGGATGGTGCAGAGGGGAGGGAAACATGTTGTATAGAATTGTAAAAGGCTCCCCAAAGGAACAGATATCACCTACCAAAAGCTAAGAGCCAGGCTGGGAGGTGGAGTTCCTGGGGAAGGTCACTACTACCCCCTCCTGACTCCTCACGTCAGAGATTTCTGCTCCATAGATCACCAAGAGCTTCCAACAGCCCGCTAGGAAGATGAACTACCTCCCGGTCTTTGCCATTTCTTTTCCATGTGGCTGCCTCAAGCTCTCCTCCCCTATCAGTGCTCCCACAGAGAGCTTACTCACATCTCGTAAATCCAGGCTACAAGGCAGTCTTCCGGTGATTGCTCTGTAGGCTGGAGCAAGTGAATTTGCTCGCCTCTGGCAATGGAAGAGGAGGTGGGGCCAGGGTAGGACTGCAGGAGAATTACTGGAAATGAGTTCTGTGCTAGATCATGTTCTTATTCTAACTACCTGCAGAAGGCGACACCTGCTGTTGGAATACGGGAAATAGCAAGGTTTTTTGGACTCTAGGTTTCTATTCAGGTTGAGCATACGTCAGTAGAGAAGTCTAAGGATTAAGTCAATCTTCTCTTTTAAATTTTTATTTATTTTATTTTTAATTTATGAGATAAAGCAAGTATTGCCATGACATAATATAATAAAGATTATTGCCCATGAAACTGCAANGGATTAAGTCAATCTTCTCTTTTAAATTTTTATTTATTTTATTTTTAATTTATGAGATAAAACAAGCATTGCCATGACATAATATAATAAAGATTATTGCCCATGAAACTGCAGATATATTCTGTACAACTTGCTATTCCTTTTAAATATATTATAAAATTATCATGTAAATTTCTTTTTTTCCCCTTTAGTCAATCTTCTTGCTAGAAAACTTGAAGCTGAGCTAGGATGCTGGGGGAGAAGGTAGAGGAAAGTTTAAGTGACTCATGAACCTGGCTGTTTCCTTCCCTCTGTACCTCTGAGTCTCAGCTTTTTTTTTTTTTTGTCTCTTATGGCTTCCTTCTATGTCTCCTATTCTATGAATGGTACTATTATTCCTTTCCTTTAGGGATCTGTCTGAAAAATGAGAGCAGGTGGATTCTACCTCCATCTCAATAAATGTAATGAATACTTCTGACCTTCTTCCAGAGCCAGGTAAGATATATCTCCTCACTGCCCTCTAGGGGCACCTTGAGGGAATTTTTTTCCTAAGGGTGGGAGAGAGAAGAGGGAGAAATTTCTTCTCTCAGCTCCAGCCCCCACAGTGCCTGGACCATAGTAGGTGCTTGATAAATGCTTACTGACTGACTGACCTTGAGATCCAAAAATGTTTTGGTAGTAATCAGCTACAAAAGGAATTTGGATGTGTCTGTGACCCTCCCGACACTCAAATCTCAAATTCCAAAATACTTTACTGATTTTATACAAGCCCCACGGGGCATGACCAACTCCCTCAATCTACCTTGATAGACTTTCTCCCACATTTCTTTGAAATGTTGGAGATGTCCAGGCCTTGTTCATGCTTTGTGAATAATATAGATGTTTTCTCACCTAAGAAAGCTATCTGAGCATAACATCTTGTTACTTACTTTAAATGGGATGGGATAATTTGATTGATTCACTCAGTCAACCCTTACACCTGCATAGGGGTGGAGGGTTTTGGAAAAAGCCTGCCCAGCCTCTATGGAGAGGAAGGGAGGACTCTGGCAGATAAAATTCCTCTAACCACAAAATAAAAGACAAAAAGCAAAAAAGAAATCCCTGCCCTCAAGGACATGATGATGCATAAGGTTTAATGTAGAAGGTGGTGTTTGATCTTAGTTGGAAGTAAGGACGGAATGCATATGAAGGCATAGGGAGGGGAATGTTGTGAGGAACACCTTCATGTTATCCCATCTGATCCTCTCAACAACCCTGGGAGGTAGAGATAGGTGCTTTTATTATCCACATTTTACAGTTGAGGAAACTGAGGCAAACAGAAGTTAGGTGACTTGCCTAAGGTCACACAGCTAGTAAGTATCTGAGACCAAATTTGAACTCCAGTCTTTCTGACTCCAGGCCCAGTACTCTACCCATGTCACCACCTAGCAACAGAAGGGACAAGTTGGCTTGACTGTAGACGCTCCAGTGGAGAGTATGGGAAAGGGAGCGATGTATAATAAAGTAGGAGAGGCAGGTGGGGCCCAGGTTGTAAAGGGCTTTAAATGTCAAACAGAGAACTTTGTATTTTAACCTGGAGGCAACAGGGAACTACTGGGATTTATCAGTAGAGTATCTACACATTTTGGTAGCTATCTGGAGATCATATTCACATACCATAATTATTAATGGACACTCATCTTTGCTACCACAAAGAAGGCTGCTGTGAATAGATGATTGCAGATACTAATGAGAGGATACTTTGTAGAACTGCACAAAATAACAATAAAATTCCCTTGGAAAAATGAAAGGTTTAAAATCTCAAGGGAACCAATGAGAAAATACACGCATGAAGGGGAGAAAGTGTTGCCAAACCTGAAACGATATTATAAAGTGATAGCCAATAAAAACAAAACAAAACAAACCCCCATTTGTTACTGGTTAAAAAATAGAAGAATACATCAAAGGAAGAGACTAAATAAGAAATAGGACAATCAAAAATAGCAGTCCCAGTGTCTGTTAATTTCAAGAACATAAATTACTGCGGGAAGGACTCTCTTTTTGATGAGAACTGTTGGGGAAATTAGCATTTTGCCAAAAATTAGGCTTACACCAACATCTTATATATAGTTCAATAGGCTCAAAATATATACATGACCTAAATACAAAAAGCTGTACCATGAAAGAAAAATAGGAGAAAACTACATCAGAAACTTCTCACAAGTATGGGTAGGGGAAGATTTCCTAACTAAACGAGGGATAAAGATGATCAGAAAAGAGAAAATAGATAATCCATTAACAAGCATTTATGAAGTGTTTATTTTGTTTCAGGTAANGATAAAGATGATCAGAAAAGAGAAAATAGATAATCCATTAACAAGCATTTATGAAGTGTTTGTTTCAGGTAGCATAAGTACTGGGGATACAAAGAAAGGTGCAAATCTTCCCCTGAAGAGCTTATAGTCTAATGGGGGAGATGACCTATAAACAGCAAACAGCAAACAGCAATGTTGTCTCTCTGTTTGTCTGTCTGTCTGTCTGTCTGTCTGTCTGTCTCTCTCTCCACCCACACACAGACATACACAAATGGGAAGGAAACTCAGCTGAGGCTTATGGGCTCATAGCATTAGACAATCTCTCCACCAGAAGTACAAGAAACTGGAAGAGGCCTCTTGAAAAAGGTCTGATTTGAACTGTCTTGTTTGTTTGTTTGTTTTTGATAATTAACTTATTTATTTTTAGTTTTCAACATTCACTTCCATAAGATTTTGAGTTTTAGATTTTCTTTCCCTCCCTCTCTTCCCCCCTCCCCCAGATGGCATGCTGATTTGAACTGTCTTGAAGAAAGCCGGGAAAGTCAGAGGGAGAGTATTCCAGGCTTGGGGGACAGCCAGTAAAAAGGAAAATAAGGAGATGGAATTGTGCTTGAGGTACAATGTTGTTGGATTGTGGAATGTGTGATAAAATGTAAGAAGACTGGAAAGGAAGAAGGGGGTTGAGTTATTAAAGGCTTTAAAAGCCAGAGAGAGGGTTTTATATTTGATCCTGGAGGTAATATTCACTAGAATTGGTTGAGTTTTTAAAAGCTTTTGGATGCACGAAATCAATAAAGATATCATTAGATGAGAAATAGTAAAGTGGGAAAAAGAATACTTCCATCAACTATTACCAGGAAAAGTCTGACACTCAAAATATGTAGGAATTGACACAAATATGTAATATCAAGAGCCACTCTTCAACGGGTAAGTGCAAAGAATATAAAGAGTGAGTTTCTGAAAGAATCATAAACTGTAAACGGTCACATGGAAATATGCTCCAAATCACTACCAGTAAGAGAAATGAAAATGAAAAAAAAGCTCTGAAGTTTTATCTCATACCATTCAAATTGATGAAGATCGCAATAAATGGGAGCCGACAATGTTGGAGGGACTGTGGAAAGTCAGTCACATAAACACATCGTTAGTGGTCTTAACTGTTCCTCATATATAAATTTGGAATTATGCAGGGAAAAATGACTAAACTGCTTGTGCCTTTTGACCCAGCAATCTTCCTACTGGGCATTATACCTCAAGGAAGTCAGAGACTGAAACAAAGGTCTAAAATATTTTTACTTTAAGTTTTGCTTCAGTATTTGCATTCAGTCTGTCTGCCAGATGAGTTCTTTGGTAGTATAGTGAGAAAGGAAGGAAGACTGGAAGTCTGAGTGAGTGGGGGTACATAAGCAAGGAGAATGAAGAATTGTTTGGATGAATTCATTCTACTAGATTTTAAACACAAAATTCAGATCACTAGAGAAAGGCTAGCAATTGTAGGGTTTATTCACACAATATCTGTTGGTAGTGACCTGGTAGCTAAAGCCTGGAGCTGCACAGGTGCCTGGAGCTTTTAAAGCGGAGAAAGGGCTACTAGTATTGCCTGTAGTCTTGTAGTGGCACCTACAACACATTTTATCTCCATTGAGCTAGAATGGGCCTGAGAGCATTTTTGATGCAAGGGAAACTCTGTTCATTGGACTTTAAAAGTAGACTTGCCTGAGAGTAGATTTGGTACAGGAATAAAGCTGATGAGAAAATGAGAAAGTAGGGTGAGATCTTGCTTGGGGTCATCTTGGCCTTTCTACTTTTTTTTTTTCCCAGAGGAGAGGGTTCCAACACAAGACACAGGACAGGACAGGTGGTATAGGTGGGCACCACTGGCTACTTATTGCCGAGTCAACACTGACCAATGAAGGCAGGTCTGGGATGGAGACTTGAGAAAAGCAATGGCCAAGGTAGAGACCCTGGGATGGAGATGGGATCAATGTGTAGCAACTGAGAAATAGACCAAACAAAGACAAGGACAGAGCTGGGATGGTCTGGACTAACAACTACTAATGTGCAATAGCTGGTGGGATTGGACCAGGAGACCAATTCTAACTCCTGGGCTTTATTTGCCCCATGATGGGGTTTCCATTTTCTCCATTTGTTTGCAGACCCTATCCTAGAAAGTTCCAAATGTGTATTTTCTTCACTTATTTTCTTTTCCCCCAAACCTACCATTTCAGAGGTTTGGGGGATATGATTGGGATTGATAATTCCCTTACAGTTTTTACTTTACTATGTTTTTATAAGCCCTATGGACCCTGAAAGGTCAATTGTCTAAATCTTATGA